GTGGAGTCAATTCAGGTTAATTAGACAGAGAATGGATCACCTTACTTCAGCATCAGTGGTGGAGGAAAGGGTGGGAGTTGCAGTGTTTGGGTTTGGTAGAAAAAAGGGCCATGGGGAATAATGGAAGATAGATTAAGGATCCAGGTGAAACACACTCATCATATTCACTACATCATCACTGTACTCCATTCTGTGCTTAGCCATGAGGAGAGGTTATGGCTGAAGCACTGATACCATCCCTACCACTGGCAAGAAAGACAGAGCTAGAATTAGCAGGAAGAGTCAGAAATTGAACTCTCAGGGTTCCTGTCAATCAGTGAAATTGAAATTAAACCTGGTGGCAGTATTTAGTGCCAATCCTAGAAAGAAACAATGTCAGATCATAGATTCAGAGATGGTATACCATAGAATCCAATTTCAAATACAGGGAAGGGTACTGCTCTTAAGTAAAAGCCCCAAAGATCTGCATGTGCACATTTCAGTTTGCAAACTATCGACTTCCCTGGCCTCTGTTTGTCTCTCTCCTATCTACTCTCCAACCTACTTTACAAAACTCAGTGTCAAAATGCAATCCCAGGTTATTATTATTCAGTTGTTTCAATCATGTCTGACTCTTCATAATCCCATTTGGGGTTTTCCTGGCAAAGATACGGGAGTAGTTTGCCATTTTTTTCTCTGCTCATTTTACAGATGAGGAAACTGAAGTAAACAGGATTAAATGACTTGCCCAGGGTCACACAGCTAGTAAGTGTCTGAGGCTGGATTTGAACTCAGGTGTTCCTGACTCCAGGTCTGATGCTTTATATTCTGCCCACAATCTTGGGTGTAATTCATCAATTTTACAATTGACAAAGAATAATGGAATCTTTCCTTGGAGAGATTAAGGTTGGGTCCTCTTTTTTTGGGGGTAGGGGCCAATTGGGAAAAGGGAAGACCAACCAGTAGAGACACTGTAAAACAAGGAAATTTGTGTGTAGGACCTTTCATCTATAGCCTCTATATAGCATCTATAGCAGGCAAGGGATAGAATTAGCACTGAAGGACTGGTCAAAGAGTGGCTTCCCGCCACGCCTGACAATGCCAGTCTCCAACCCTGGACAGTCTTCATGACCAGCTTCCTTTGCTTCTGCCTTCAGAACATCCAGGATTGCCAAAGAGAGGCACGAAGCTTGGCAGACCTGGCTCAGGACAAACTCATGATGTCAGCTTCCCCGGGGCATTTGCTGCTGCCTGACATTCCTTTCCCCAGTCTCTCACTGACTGTCTAGAATTCTGCTCATGGGGGCTGTTCCAAATCTCTCTGTTCTTCTTGAGTCCACAACCCCTTCCCTTTTCCTTAGGGCTTGTCAGATAATTTTGGCCTCCTATTTTGCTCAGTAGTTCTTAGGATTTGGAGCTGGAAGGTCAAGTCATTATTTTACAGATGAGGAATTTGAGGCTCAGAAAGGTAAAGCGATTTGCCCAAAGTTACACAGGTAGCAAGCAATACAGCAAGGTGCTGAGCTTAGGTTTTCTCATGTCATATTGAGTGTTCTTTTCATGAGGCCTCATGAATTTTGATTAGAGGCTATCTTGCTTCAAGTCTTACCTCTCCATCTTTTCAACTAAATATATTTCTGTCTTTCTCTTTCCATCCTTTTCTCCAGTTTTAGATGAAGAGTTTCATCTTCTCCTGAAGAGAAGTCCACCTGTAAACTCTTGAATCTGCCCCTTCCCAGCGGCTAAAGTATCTGGTGCCCACAACTGAGCCTCTCTCCCACCCCCTCACCCCTGTCACTCTCCCTCTCTCTCTCCAGCCTCTTCAACCTCTGCCTCCCTACTGATCTTGCCTTTCAATCTTCAAACATGAAAAGAAAAAACAGACAAATAAATGAAAAAAAAACATATAATAAACACTTACTGTGTGCAAAGCACCGTACTAAACATTGAGTATACAAATAGAAAAGTAAGACAGCTCCTCCTTTCAAGGAATTCACATTCTAATTGAGGACACATGGACACATAGACACACACACACACACAATATATATATGTATATGTGTGTGTGTATATCTATATATCTATATCTATATCTATATCTATATCTATATCTATATCTATATCTATATCTATATCTATATCTATATCTATATCTATATATCTACATCTATATCTATATCTATATCTATATCTATATCTATATCTATATCTATATCTATATCTATATCTATATATCTGATAGAGGAGGTTTCAGTTGCAAGTCAAATGGCAGGGCCCAGTGGTCCTTAGAATGTAGCAACAAGCCACGTTGTAATATGCCTCCTTTTGTGTCAATTCCATTAATAGGAAGAAAAGAAGAAGGAAGGGGAAAGGAGAGAATAGAAGGCAAAGAAGGGGGCACAAAAGAAGGTGGAGGAAGGAAAGATGAAACTGAAAGCAAAGAGAGGGGACGAGAAAAGAAAAAAGATGAAAAAGAGAAGAAGGAAAGGGAGAAGGAAGAAGGAGGCAAGAAAGGGAAGAAGAAGGAATCCAAAAAGAGAGAAAAGAGTGGGTGAGGAGGCAGGTGATATACAGGGACTTGTTATAACAGTTTGCACCAACTGACAAATGGCAGAATCTAATTAAAGCCAGTGAAGGAAGAAACAAACTGAGCTTCTCTCCCTCTCTCTCCCTCTCTCTCTCTCTCTCTCTCTCTCTCTCTCTCTCTCTCTCTCTCTCTCTCTCTCTCTCTCTCTCTCTCACTGCGTCTATCTCTGTCTCTCTACTCTGCCTATCTCTGTCTCTCTACTCTGTCTCTGCTTCTGTCTCTAATTCTCTTTGACTTTGTCTCTCTGTTTTAATCTGTCTCTGTCTCTCTTCCTCTCTCTGTCTCTTTCTCTGTGTCTCTAATTCTCTCTGTCTTTGTTCTGTCTCTTTGTTTTTCCCGTCTCACTCTCTGTCCCTGTGTCTCTGTCTCTGTCTCAGTCTCTCTCACCTCTAATCCAAGCACTAGGACTCAGGAAGGCAGAAGTAAATCCCACTTCCAGGGATACATCTTTGTGGGTATTGCTTCATCCAATATGCCCCGTCTTCATCTTCCCCAACACACGCCTGCATGTACATACACAGAATGACAGCTATACACATTACATGCCTGTTGTTCCCTTGTATTTGATTCCCTTTAGGACAGACTTAGATTGCTAAGAGAGTATGCATGCCTTTGGTTTCTGAGATCATCTTTGAGAATCAGGTAGGCCACATGCAAACAGGCAGCCAGGCAGGAAAACAAAGATTAGAACTAATCCCCTTGCTTTACAGATAGTCTCAGCAGAGAGGCCTTAGGTCTTAGAGGAAAAAGATGCAAAGTTAGCTTCCATGATATCCCCTCTGCATCTGCACTGGGAATCTCCAGGGAGAAAACATTATCTTTTCATGTTTTATCTTGATAGGGAGCGGCTCGGATTTGCATTCCCACTCAGGGAAACAGCCACAGCCCATCTCTCTCGACTCAGACATTTCAAAAAATTAAAAATCAACTTAATTAAATAGCTTTAATTCCTTTTTTTCCTGGGTAACATTCACACATTAATTAATACTTCATTAAGTTGAATTCCTGGGGGCAGTCAGGGATGTTTATGCCTAATGAGTTCATCTGTCATTAGTGTTATTGTAAAAGGCGGCAAAGAGCTGTAGCTTTCAAAGTTTCCCGTTAATCTGGAATGAAGGGCAATGCCCGATTTGCAGTTTTCTCTGCCTCCCTGGTGGGCCACTCCAGACAAGAACATAACCCAAACCACAGTCACTTTCGAAGGGAAGTTTCTCCCTCTCAACTCATCCTGAGAGCTCTAGCACTTTACAACTGGATGTGACTTTGGGCAAGGGAATTCCTCTCCCTGGGACTCAGATTCCTCATCTGTAGAATGAGGTAATTGGACTTGGCCTGGATGAGTTCTCTGGTCCCATCCAGATCTAATAATCCATGACTTTTCTAATCCATGCCTTGATCCCATGTTGGTCCCTCCACCCCCACCACACACACCCCATACCCCCAGAACTTAGCACACCTCTGGCCTCTTCCCTTGACTATCAGGGGATATATAACTTCATTTTAACATCACTCTGAAGAAAACATCATTAGGAAAGTTAAACCTCCTATTTTACAAAAGAAAAAAAATACCACAAAATATCCTTCAAGACCAAACATGATAATCTCTGGGGAGCACAGGCCAGCTAATTGAGAGGTTAAAGGGATGTTAGAAGTCATGGGATTCAAGGATCATAAATTTGGATCCAGAAGGGACCTCAGCAGTCATCTAGTCAACACCTTCATTTTATGGATGAGGAAACTGAGGTCTAGAGAGGTTAAGTGACTTGCTCACAATTGCACATGTATTATTGAGTAACTGAAAGGGATTTGAACCCAGACCTTCTAACTTGAAATTCACTTCTCTTTCCATTGTACCCCACTACTCCATCTTCTTGCCTCTTTTTATTAGCATAGATTATAAAGATTGCATTATACCATATTCTCTTGGCTGTATCAGAACAGAGAGCCTACAAAAGAAAAGTGGGAACTAGTTTCTCTGCCTGCCACATCTTTTCTCTACAAGGGTCTGCTCTAGTCCAGTGGGTCTCCTCCATCTACTTCCTTCTGAAGAACATTCCACCAGAGCATAAGACCCATGGATCCTCTACCCCCTGATCCCACTGGCCCTATTACCCCAACACACACACACACACACACACACACACACACACACATCTCACTAGGGTTGAAAGGGCAGCTGTGTCTGATGAGGCCTCAGTGAGAGAGGCCATGAGTAAATTGTAAATCCATGGCATCAATGGCATGAACAGAAATATAGCTCTTAACATGATATGTATATATGTCATATTAGAAACATCAATATTGCGATAGACTAGCCTCTGAACCAGGTGAGGACCCCCATGGACCTATGGCTCCCATGGAGACCCAGGGCTCTATACAACACCGTGCTCTTCTTCATGGGTGGGCACAGCTGTATCCCCTTTCCCCCTCTTACCTCTTTGGTGTGCGTGTGAAAGGAGACAGACATATCCAAGAGAAGCTTCCGCTGTTCCACCCGGCGCACGAAATCTTGGATTCGGACTTCCAGGTGCCGAGCTGCCTTGTAGATCTCCTCTGGGTCACATTCTCCAGTCTGTGCCAACTGCTCGGCTGCCTCTAGGAGCTTGTCTGCATTGGTGTATGTGTTCTGCAGGCAGACAGAAGTGGGGGACAGTCAGCACCAAGATCCCCAGACTGAAGCTGTCTCCCCGGCATGCTGCCTACCCCAACACCCCCGGTACAGAGCTTCCCAAAGCTTCAGACAAGAAAGGTGGGAAAAGCACTGGATGTACCCCAAAACTGGCAAAAGAAGAGGCACCTACCCACCTCGGAGCTCCCACACACTGTCTCTCAGTCAGCTAAGCAGCTTGCCTGGCTAATGAACACAACTGTGCACTTGCTATTTTTCCCATCCCTGGAATATCTCTGAGACAGAGCATCTCTTGAAAGAAACAAATGGGCAGGCGGGAACCATGATACCCTTGATCCAGTCCCCTCCCCCATTAGGAAGCCCCATCACTGCTATCACATTTCAGGTTGGATCTCTAGGGTTGGAAATGCCTCATCCAAAAGGACTGCATGAGTTCCTCGGGGGGAACCCCAGAAGCACAGTCACTGGGCAATTTCTTTTTTTTTTCCTCAAGTTTCCTACAATGTCTGGTTCTTATCTCTTTTGGATTTGAGCTGTGTCTCTGGAAGGGTAGGATAGGGGTCAACAATGTTGACTGAAAGAAGCATCCAGAGCCTGTGAGAAGAAAGGCAGGAATGGGGTCTTACTGTTTGCAGAAACTTTGAACAAGCAGGCAGTGATATTGCCTCTCTCACACCACGTCTCCACCCTCTAGTTTGACCACATGATACCCATTCTCTAGAGCAGTGACAAATACAACAAAATCTCAATTTTCTGTCACAGTGTGAGAAAGTTAAGCTATTGAGAACACTAGGTAACCTGAAAGTCATTTAGATCGGTCTTTTGAAATGATTATGTGACTTTTCCCTAGCGGGTTTCCCTGTTTTTGCTAATATTGGCTCAGGCTAAAATTGAAAAAAGGATTTTCATTCCCTTGAGCACATGGTGACTTACAATTGGGTGGGAAGGTGGCCCAGATACACTCCCTAACCTTGTTAGCACCTTTCTGATGGTAAATGGCCAATAAGTATTGGTAGATAGGTGGATGCTGATGATGAGGTCTGTGTAGGAGGGAAGCCAGTCTCTGATGTGAAAATGGAAACCAGAATGTGGATAATTGAGAGCCAGCTTTAATGTACTTCACTTTGCCCATGAAGAAATAGCCTAAAATTCTCATGGTTCAATTGAGGTGCCATCAGCTGCAACAACTGGAAGGAAACTTGGAGGTCTGCAGATCAAAGGATCCTAAAAGTCTGTAAGGGACCTCAGAGATCCTATACTCAAACCCCTCATTGTATAGCTAAGGACACTGGGGCCCAGAGAGATTAAATGACTTGTTAAAACTCATATATATACATATATATATATATATGTATATATATATATATATATATATACATATATATATATATGTATATATATATATATATATATATATATTTAGTGATAGAATCACTATTTGAACCCCAGTCTTCTTTTCTATCGTCATCATCATCATCATCATCATCATCATCATCATCACTATCATTTATAAACATGTGTGAAGTTTGCAAAGAACTTTAAAAATATTAACTCATTTGATCCTCATAACAACCGTGGAGATAGGTGCTATTATTATCCCTGTTTTGTTGATCAATCATTTTTTCAGCCGTGTCCAACTTTTCATGACCCCATTTGAGGTTTTCTTTGCAAAGATACCGGAGTGGTTTGCCATTTCCTTCTCCAGCTCATTTTACAGATGAGGAAACTGTGGCAAACAGGGTTAAGGGACTTGCCCAGGATCACACAGCCAGTAAGTATCTGAGGCCAGATTTGATCTCGGGAAGATGAGTCTGACTCCAGGGCCAGCACTTTATCTACTGCACCATCTAGCGGCCCACATCCCCATTTTATTTATGAAAGAATTGAGGTAGATTGAGTTTAAATGGACTGCCCAGAGTCACACAGCTAGTAAGCATCTGAGGCTGGATTTAAACTCAAGTCTTTCTGACTCCAGGATCAGCACAGTATCTATTGGGCCACCAATATGAAATGGCTTTCACTCCATGTTACCTCTCAAGCAATCTAATTCAACTCACTGGAAAGTATTCCTAATCTTCCCACTGCCCTCCAGAGCCCCAAGCTGCCTCTCATTCTAAGGGGCCTCTGGAGAAGTGCATTATTTCACATATGAGGAAATAAACCCTCAAAGACATAGAATGCATGGCCCAAGGTCACACAATCAATGGCTGTGCCTGGGTACTGCCTCCTGACTCCCAACTCATTGGCTCTTACATAATAAAATAACCAGTGTTTAAATAGCACTTTATGGTTTGCAAAGCTCTTTACCTAAGTTATTTCATTTGATCCTCAGAACACCTCCCTGAAGTAGGCACTATTATCTCTATTTTACCATTGAGGAAACTGAGGCTATGGGCAGGTTAAGTGGCTCATTCAGGGCTAAATATCTAAGAAGTACCCACTCCACTACTTGGCTGCCATCACATCCATGATGCTGCCACTTGTCAGGGTATCCAACCTTAGACTTAACTAGATACCACTAACAAACTTTCTGAGGCTGAGGAAATCATTTTTGGGACCTGGCCCTCAGGACTATGTTAATGTAGGTCTCTTAGAAGATGGAATAAACCCACAGGAAATACATCTTTACATAGTCTGGAAACTTCCCAGTGAAAGCTTATCCTCTTATAAGGCTACTTTGACTCCTATGAGGACTGGCTTTTTTTGCGTAGTTGGGTAGTTTTTTGGGTAGTTGAGTTATTTGGAGGTATGATTTAAAGAATTCCAGTTAGTTCTCCCTACTTTGAAACTCTCTTATTAGCTTCAAATTCTACCATTAGAGATTAATTCTTTTAAGTTAAGGCACTGTTTCAGCCACGCAATCTCTTTGAAAATGCCATACTTACCTATTATCAGTCCTTAATATTTTAGTGTGAATTAGACTACCAGACTGTTACTTGGGTAACAAGGCACTTGGGAAATCAGCTATACCACTGAGGAAAGGGGAGAAGAATATTAAGTGTATCAAGCAATGATTTGTTACAAAGGGCTCTCCCCACCTTTTCTCTCAGGTAATTGGGGAGAGTCTATGAGGAAGCAGAGGCTAGCAATAGTGATGCCAAAAAAATGGGCCATTTTTACACTTTTTTAAGGTACAGAAGACAAAAAAGGAAATTCAGAAGGATGCATGGATAAGTAGGATAATTTTGAAAATAACATGTAGAATTTATTGTATACATTTTAAAAATCAAGTGAATGAAATAGAGATTCACGGTTGCATATACAATCCTCTTTTTGTGTTCTGCTGTGTGTATAGAAATCCTTTTTTAAAAATTGGTATTTAAGTTCAGAATTTTCTTTTAAAGACAGTATGGAGCACTGCCCTTACCACCTGACATGCTCCTGAGCCATCAGCATTGATGTGCTTGGAGAGCAGCAACTAAATTACAAGCCTATAAGATAATCTTAGCATGTTTGATCTTCTTCCTCTTAAGCAGGACTCGTCGGTAGACCTCTGCCTGCATGTTGCTAGTAGCACCAGCTTAGGTCCATTAGTCCTTCGTGAGTAAAGAGGCCTTGACATACAGATGGCTCCCAGCAATTCTTGAGCAAACAAGCATCTTCCTGGTTGCTGTCTCTCAAAACTGTTGGATTGTTTGTAATTCCTTCAGGGTCTCCTGGAAAATGGTCTCATAGATTCTGTATCTGAGTGTAGCTTGGGTAGATCCCATAGTACAACTTCCTCATTTTGTAGACAAGGAAATTGAAGATTAGAGAGAAGTGATTTGCCCCAAGTTATACACAATTGTAAATGGCACAGTTGGCATTTGAATCCTGATCTTCTAACTTCAAATCCAGTGGTCTTTCCAGCATACCATGCTCCTGGTCCAGTCTTCTGAGTATACCAAATTAATGTTTCCCCTCCCAGCACTGCAGAATGACTTCAGGCAAAATACACTGATTGGACTTAATCACATCTCATCATTGCTTCTTGTTACTTCTTGCTTGCTTGTCATTGGTGACTCCTCCCCTCACACCCCCCATCATCATTTTAGGAAGGACCTTAACCATGCTTCAATTCCCCTGGACTCTCTCAGGAATCCTCCTCCTTCTCCTCACCTGCTACAAATGAGGAGCCCACCTGTTTGGGGCAGGTTTAGTTTGAGGTGCCAATAAGACATCTAGGAAGAGATGGCTAGCAACAAGTTGGGCGGGAGCATAAGCGAGACCCTGGGAGCAAGAATACAGATTTAGTCATCATCTACATAGGACTGTAATTGAGGCCATGGGAGTGAGTGAAATCATTCAACTGGAGACCTATTTAAAGGTCTCCAAAATCAGAGGGCAAAAAGGATCCAGCTGGGGATAGATGATACTGGACATGAGAAATCTGTTAACTTTCCATATCTGGAGTATATAACAAAGAGAGAGAAGATGTGGAGAGAGATGAGGAGAGGACCAAGGGCAGACTTTAGGAAAGAATAGAAGTTTGAGTGTTAACTGTTACAGAGAGTTCTGAACCTTAAATAAACCCTGAGTTTGGAAGAGCCTTCCAAGAACCATCTGGTCCCACTGTTCATATGCACTAGTATCTCTCTCTCTCTGTCTCCCTGTCTCTCTCTCTCTGTCTTCCCTCTCTCATTCTCTCCTATCCTCTTCTCTTCTCTCCCTCTCCTTCCTCTCTGTCTCTGTGTCTGTCTCTCTGTCTGTCCGTCTCTCTGTCTGTCTGTCTGTCTGTCTGTCTCTCTCTCTCTCTCTGTCTCTGTCTCTGTCTCTCTCTCTGTCTCTGTCTCTCTGTCTCTCTCTGTCTCTCTCTCTCTTTCTCTCTCCCTCTCTCTCTCTCTCTCTCCCCCCCCTCTCCTCTCTACCCCCACCACATTTCTGGAAAACTGGACTAACCAAACCCACACAGATGATTCTATCTCCCATCCTTAAGAGCCCCCATAGATTCAGCCTACTAAAGTCTTTTGGTAATTTGGCCCTGACGTCTAACTACAGATGCCCCTGCTGCAGTCCTC